CATATACACAGTAAACACAATTATTATACGGACATGGTCTAAGTTGACTAAAATGCTACAATTGGTCAGCTAGTTGATTCAGAGGGACCAGCCTGAGATTCAATGCATAAGATGTCTCTAGCTGGACTTTTCATCTTTGGTGTTCTTTATTTCATTATTATTTTTTAAATACATCAAATAAAACACACTTGATTATGTTAAAAGAGAGAAGTCCTAAGTAATTTATTCCGTTAGAAGATATATCAATAATAACTGAAAAGTTAATAAGTAGAATATTTTCATTTGGATTAAGTTTATTAGGGGCTTTTCACCTATAACATATAACAATACAGGGCCAAGTTTTTTAAGCTGATGTCAGCTGTTAACCTGTAACGTTTAACATTTTATTTTTTCTCAGACAATGTTACAGCTAACGGGAATTCTAATGGAGCTCCATGTGTTTTTCCATTGTTTTACAATGGAGCGTTTTACAACGACTGTGTTAGTCTTGATCACCCTAACCCATGGTGCAGCACGACTGATAACTACACCAGAGATGGAAAATGGGGAGAGTGTCTCGACTATGGTAATATTCCTTGATTCTCTGAAATGATCGCTTATGTTTAATCTACTGTATTAGCATGTATATACATGTGGAGCCATTCACTCTTATTCAATCCTCTTGTTGTCAGATGTTTGTCAGTGTCACAACAATCTATCTGATCCATGGAGGAACATTGGTTTTAACCTCAGCTTTTTCCCTGGTTGGCAAATTCTTGACCTTAACTTGCAAGAAGGATGGTACCGCTTTACCAATATTGGTGGAGACCGTATGGCCTACTACCACTTATGTGACATTGTCAGTGATGACAGTAATGATTTTTGGCTTCATTACAGTGAAGGTTCTGCAGACTTTTCCTCATACACATGTACTCAAGTCACTGACAGTGTACAGAATCTAGACTGTGGTGCAGGACTGATCCTCTACTACCTTGTTCCAATCACAGGAGCTTACAGGACACGTGAGTAGGTTTAAAGCCATCACATGATTTTGTCATAAGATGAAAGTGTTGAGAAATGACTTTGTAGAATTATAGGATTCATTGTAGACAGGGGTGGAAAAAGTACAATACTCCTGTACCTGAATAAAAGTAAGGGTACTCTTAGTAAAATACTACTTGAGCAAAATTAGAAAATTACTTACTTACGAATGTCTTTTAATATCAAAACTAAAAGAGTTTTGAGTTATTATTATGATTAAAGAGCTGTTTGGCTGTATATATATAAAAACCTTTCATGTTTTCAGTCATACAGGTCTCCTTAATAGAACTTATTCAAAATATTACGAAAGATCATTTCATTTGTGATCTCCATATGTCATATCTTCCACATGTTGATCAATGAAGGGAATTTGGCCTCTGTGTCACCTCATATTAATACCCCAGTAAAAAAAGCCATGGATGGCTGCTTAAGAGTTCCTGAAAACTCAGCTGGACTTTATATATTAATGAGATCATACTTTAGTTTTACTGCTAGTTTACTTTTTTTTTTCTTATCAACAAGGGATACCAGTTATTGTGACACATGTGGTTTTGCTGCAAATGTTACTGCATATTTACTTTGTTTACAATATACAACCCCATTTCCAAAAAGTAAAATGTAAATAAAAACAGAATTCAATGATGTGCAAATCATTTAAGCTCTACATTTTATTCAAATCATTACAAAGACAACATACAGACTGTTATCAACTAAAAAATATTTGCTCATTTTGAATTAACATATTTCAAAAAAGTTGGGACAAGGACATATTTACTGTGTTTGATCTTCCTTTACCAACACTCTGTAAGTGCTTGGGAACTGAGGAGGCCAGTTACTGTAGTTTTGAAAGTGAAATGTTTTCCCATTCTTGTTTGAAGTAGGATTTCAGCTGCTCAATATTTCGGGTTCTTCTGTGTAATGTTTTCAATGGGTGACGGTGGGTTTTAAATGGGTTACTATGGAGCCATGCTGCTATAATATGTGCAGAATGTGGTTTGGCATTGTCTTGCTGAAATGAGCAAGGCCTTCCCTGAAAAAGATGTCTTCTGGATGTCAGCATATGTTGCCAAAACCTGTATGTATCGTTCAGCATTAATGGGCCCTTCACAGATGTGCAAGTCACCCATGCCATTTGCACTAATGCACCCCTATACCATGCATGAATACTGGCTTTTGAACTGTACACTGATAACAAGCAGGATAATCCCTCTCCTCTTGAGCTCAGAAAATGCGCTGTTTATAATTTTCAAAAGATTTTGGCCTTGTCCCTTGCATACAGCAATTCTTCAGGATTACTCCAAATTCTCAAAAAAATTTCCCACACATTCACTCCTCCCTGTCTTTACTTCTGAATGACTCAGCCTCTCTGGGATATTCTTTTTATACTTAATGATGTTACTGACCTGTTGCCAATTAACCTTATTAACTATGGAATGTTCCACCAGGTTTTTTTTTGTTTGTTTGTTTTGTTTTGTTTTTTTAGCATTACACAACTTTACCAGTCTTTTGTTGCCCCTGACCCAATTATTTATTGTGTTGCTGGCATCATATTCAAAATGTGCACATATTTTTTTTTACAAAACAATAAAATTTCTTTCCACATTTGATGTATTGTCTTTGTACTATTTTCAATTAGATATAGGGTTTAAATGATTTGCACAACATTGCATTCTGTTTATATTTATGTTTTGCACAGCACCCCCAACTTTTTTGGAAATAGTGTTGTATATTTGAAAAATAAATAAATATGTAAATAAATATGTAGTGGATGTTGTATCTTGTTAGGCCTCAATTGACCGGTTAGGTCTGGTAAGGTAGATCAAGAAAAGTCATTAGGAATTGTCAGCTGATAACATTCCAGAGCATAATAAATTCCCTGACTCTTTGTGCTAAAACTCAACAACCATAGGATCCTCTAATGAACAGCTGGCAGTGGGTCTGAAAATAAAACTAACTGATGCATACAAAGCAGCTGATGCTTACAAAGCAGACAAAGACTATAAAAAAATATCAAAGCTCTTCCAGCTCACAATTTCCACTGTCCAAAATTTCATTACGAAATAGCAGTTAATGGGAACTGTGGAAGTCTAGCTAAGATTTGGAACACCAAGAAATCTGTTTGGTGGGGCTGCTCATATGCTAGTCAGAGGGTTAAAACAAAACTTCTAAACAACATAATGTACAAATTCAAAGCTCTGTCTTTAGGAATGTGGCTGGTGTGCTTTAATAAACTATTTCTTCCACAGGTCATTCCTCCTGCAGTGCATCTTCCTGTGGGTTCAAAGCTCCCTGTAATTCTTCTGATGGCAGCTGCATGTGTACCTGTGATAATGGCATCCAGACCACAGACATCTACAGTACATGCAGAGGTACTGATTATGCAGAACAAAGAATAATGTATCAGTTCTGAATTAAACACTGAGATTAATCAATCAGTTAATATAGTTGCATGTAGTTGTGTAAAGCTATCCAAAACAAACAAAACAGTGGAAAGTAGATTATAAAAGCAAATTTCCAAAAATGTCTGACATGGAGAGGCAAAGGCAGGAAGTCTTTTTTTATCATGGTCATTAGGACAGGCAGGGGTCAAAAGACAAAAAGGCAAAGAAATCCAATACATGATTAAATTTGTTAAAACCATGGAAAGGAGAAAAGGGAGAAAACAAGACCAAAAAAAAACAAGAAATGCAGCTAAAATTAATAGAATTACAAAGCTACAAACCCAGTCCCAAGAAAATTGAGACAGTAGGTAAAATGCAAATAAAATAGATAGCAGTGATCTGTAAATCCACTTTGACCTGTATTTGAACACAAACAGTACAAAAGACAAGATAAGTAGTACTACTGTACTTCAAAAAGGAGTACAATGCTTCTTGGAGATACAATGTCTTCCGATGACTAAATCCACTTCGAAGGTGGTTCGAGTTACTGGAACGCAATGTCTCCACAATTCTTATCATATCTTGATGCGTGAAAGGACCCCCTTTATTTACTTTTTATTTGTTTCAGACTATTGTGGCATTACTGCAATCGTGTATGACATGTTGGACATGGATACCAACAGATTGCATGGCAAAATGAAAAAGAAGGATGAAGCGAAAACAAATAATGACATCAATAACACACTCAACAACCCAGTCCTGGCACAGGCTATGGTGAGTTAAGTGTATCAGTGATTGTACTATACTATAGTTTACATTTTAAAGAAAAAATACCTTCATTTCAGTTGAATGAGACAGTTTGGTCTTAGAGTGACAGGAGTAAACTTATATATTCTATAGTCAGACATGTTGTCCACAGAAAAGGTAGGAGAGAAAAGAGACAAAATTATTGCCTGTCCTTACTTGTATTCGCAGTCAGTGACATATCTTAAGGCCTGCAAGAATGTTTTTTTTTTTTTTCAACAAAATTTGCCCCACCCACTGGTAATCAAAATGTAATTGGCTGATTCCACTGTCATGTCTTTTTTATGTTGGTAGTATCACTAATTCCAAATTATGTTGGACAGCCATAGATTTCAGTCCAGCTCCTAAAGGCCTAAACAAGAGAAGAACACTCCTGGCTGTATTGACATCACAGAAGACCATCAGATATCATCTGATTAGATAATTATCCAAATCATTTGGGGAATTTGTGGAAAAGAATGGTACTAAAACATGATTAGTGTTTTGTGGGCGGTAAAGTTTCATTTTTATATATTTGGATTTCTTTTAAGAAAAATGTTAGAATGTATAAATCATTGTTTGCAACCAAGACAATCAGCTACCAGTTTTCTTCCGAAATTAATGCCTTTTAAAACTCAAAGAACACACTGAGTTCTGATCATGATCCTAGCTAAAGGTCCCAATACAGGAGGTTGGCTTTAACTTGTCAATTTTTTCATTGTTCACAATTTTGCATGCGTGTAATTAGGTTAATTTGCTCCGCTGGCCACAAACGATGCACGTATAATGTATGCTCTATGAATAATGTCCAATAAATTATAAGATCATTTTTTGTCCAGAATTTTTCCAATTCCAAGGTAAACTGGCCTAATGTTGGGTAATGCTTGTGTCCTCTATCAGAAGCTGATGTTGCTTGTTCCATCCTCACAGGTTTAGCAAACATACACAGTCTCTCTCTATTCAAGTAAAATTCTAAGTAAAATATCCAGCTAAAGCTAATTACCAGACAAAAGCTAACTAGCACACATAACTGAGCTAACAAGCTGGCTCATCTGTTTCTCTATCTGTCTGTTGTCCTTTTGATCCGTATTTCATTCGTCCATTCATCCAGCCAGGCATGCTAGCATTCCATGTTTGTTAATTCCCTGAATGTCCACCTAGCAGTAAAGATAATAAGAAGCCTATTTTCTTTAAGGCATTGCCACTTAGGAGTTGGCCAATGTTTTTCATGACTTGTGGACACAGGAGGATGTAAAACACCACCTGCACATGTAAAGCCTGTTTGACTCATTTCTCCACTCACACGATTGTTCATAGTTCTTCACTCTTCACTTGATCAAATACTGTGTTTTGTTTACATGTAGGTGCTTGCTGTTTAATTAACAGATGTTAGTACCTGATTCATGTGAAACATCTTATGATACTTGGAGGAAAAAAAACAATCCATCATTAGCGTAACCAGTCATGCACGCACTCTGCATATTATCTATGATCAAAGAATTGCTAACTGTTTTCAAAATCTCTTCTACATCTTGCTTTGACTAGGTGGTTGGTGTTAATGGCTCTAAGTTATGTTTGACCTGGGAGAACTGGGTAAATGACAGTTGCAGAATCATTCCAATCGACAGTAATCGTACTATGTGCTCCTGTGATGACCCAGAAAACACTGATGACATCAACCAAGGGTTTACAGGAGGTAAGTGTGTAGAACAAGTGCACCTACATTGCATGGGAACTGGTGTAATGACCTTCACACTTTCCATGAAATTTAAAGTGTCCAGGACATGTGCAGGAATTTCTGGATACATGGGCGAAAATTCCCACAGACACACTACAAAATTTTGTAGAAAGCTTCCCAGAAGAGTGGAAGCTGTATGTTTAGCTAATGGAAGCTATCCAGTCACAAAACCTGTATAGCTTGCTGACATCTTCTATGAATTTCCCCCAGCCTACCTGGTTTAGTTGTTTGTTGAGCATGTCAGTCCTCTCCTTACTTGACAATATCAGGAGGGTGGTGTTATGGTTAGTGTCGCTAATCTAAGTAAACAGACAGTATAGTTTAGCCCAGCTAATTAGACTATGGCCTACTGATCTAAACCATTAGTTTTTAGCTTAGCTGTCATTGACATGAAGCACATGCAGATATTAGCTTACTCATTCCCTAACTAGCTAACATTAGCAAAACGAAACATAGTGGTGCTCTGGCAAATTGTGTGACCTTGTTGTGTAACAAACCTCTTTGAAAAACTGTCTGACTACTTTATCTGAAGTGGACTCTAATCCAGCAGTTTGTAACTCTGCACAGAATGGAACCACAGCCTTATACTAAATGCACAAACATGTATTTACACCCATAGTATTTACGAAACATACAACCAGTTATCATCCAGTGTTGTATTTAAGTAGTCTTTTGATTAGAAACAGGCTTTGAATCTAAATCAAGTTTTAAGTCTCTGTTTGAAGCAAAACAAATGACTGATCTCACCAAGTGAGTAACTTGAGTCCAAAAAGGTGTTGTCTCACAGGCTACATCTTCAGATGAACAGTCCGAGTGAGTGCAAAGTGGTTAGATGTGATGATCCTAGTCCTTCAGGTCCATGTAGAACTCCAACATTGATGAAGATGGAGCATTTGGTCAGTGACCCTCCATTCCATTGTACATAGTCTGTCCAATCACAGCACGAAAAGGTAATAAAAGAAAGTCCTTCTACAACACAACAGAAAACACCATCAATGTTCTCATCAAAATTATTTCAATAAACACACCTTTGTTCGTACAATTATCCTCTTGTACTTACAACCCCATTTCCAAAAAAGTTGCAATGCTGTGCAAAATGTAAATAAAAACAAAATGCAATGATGTGCAGATCATTTAAACTGTATATTTCATTGAAAAGAGTACAAAGACACTGATAAAGTTGTGTAATGCTAATAAAAACACATCGTGGTTGAAGACTGCATGAGCAAATAGTGCAACAATTCAAGAATAACATTTTTCAACATAAAATGGCAAAGAACCTTTGTTTTTCATCATATATGGTACATATTAACATTAAAAGATTCAGAGAATCTGGAGAAATCTCTGTATGTAAGGGACAAGGCCAAAAACCAGTACTGGCTGTCCATGATCTTTGGGCCCTCAGGTGACACTGCATTAAAAACAGACATGATTCTGTAGTGGAAATCACTGCATGGGCTCAGGAACACTTCTGAAAACTATTGTCTGTGAAAACAGTTTGTCGCTGCATCCACAAATTAAACTTAATACTCTAAAATGCAAAGACACTGTACATAAATAGGATCCAGAAATGCTGCCACCTTCTCTGGGCCCAAGCTCATTTAAAATGGACTGAGGAGAAGTGGAAAAGTGTCCTGTGGTTTGACGAATCATCGCCATAATCTTGAAACACAGTGGGCACGTAAAAATAAGGTGGCTCTATTACCATATCCTGACTACAACATTATCAACTTCTCACATGTTTATTACTAAACCGTATTAAAATATTCCATCAAACAATGGTTTTACTGCAGAAATTGTTTTAGTATGATATTAACAATAAGCAGAAGGTTTATATGACCTTATAAACCAAACAGTAGATCTATAAGATCTACTCAACTGAGCATCAAATCTATACAATCTAACTGATTAAGCAATAGAGCTTTATGACCCAACATTTGTATAATGTTGACAAAAATATTCAAGTAGTAATATTCAGTAAAAAAAAAAATTCTGAAATTTTGAAATGTTTGTTTTGTGTAATTACTCTAAAGGTTTATATTGGTTTAAATCTTTGAGTGCAGTGAAGAAATGTTTTCCATTGCATCAGCTAATAATATTTGTGTCAGTTAAGCATTATGCAATTCAAATATATGTGTAACTAACCCTAATACTCTACAAACTGCTACAAAATCATAGCTCACCCTAATTTTACCGCATTAATGGTTCTGTGAACTTCTTCTGGCTTACAGAGCATTTGGACATGTTAATCGTTGTGGTCATGCCAGTGGGGCTGTTGTTCCTGAGCTTGACCCTACTGACCTTTGTTCTTTGTGGAAGACAACTAAATGTAACCAACACAGCTCAGGTCAACCTGTGCATAAGCCTGCTGTTGGCCCACCTCCTCTTTCTGTTCAAAGGGGGATTCCTAAAGTACATACGTGCTAATCAGGTGAGAAATATTAGCTTCATACTAGTCTCAGTTCCAAACATGCAAAGTTTCAAACTGCTTTGTTACTTTTACATATTTATATTAATTGTTGTTCTACTTTTAATAATAATAGTTTTTAAGACATCTTTTAGCTTGTCTGTCATAATTAACTAAGCATGAACTAAATAAGTGTGTTTGGCCAGTAAGCGGACGCTTGCAGATATAAAACACAAAAGAAGCTTTACTTGGGGATTCTGGCAAGTATAACATCGTCAAAAAACAGGCATGGGTCAGTTCCAAAGTAAACAATAGAATACACAAGGTGACCATAACCGACAAGGGAAAAAACAGAGCAAAGTCCAAAATACATGCAAATAGTCAAAACCGAAAATCCAAGAAACCAGGCAACAGTACAGAAGGGCAAATCCAAAAACAAAATAATTGTTACTTGTGTATTAATAAGTGCTAATGTCATTTTAGGCAAACAGACCAGATGCTAGTAAAATAATAAGCATGTTTTATTTTCAAAGGGGCCAACCAGAGGAGTAGTAAATAAACCAGGCCAGGTCAGAACCATGAGTGCAGTAAGCAAGGGACAAGTGGAACCAGAGAGCAGAGTGAAAAACATACACAGGTCAAAAGCCAGACCAACAAACAATCCAAAAACTAAAGTACAAAGGGAGAATCCAAAAGAGAAAACGAGGGCTGAAAAAGTGTCAGAAAACACGAAAAAGAACAAGAAAAAATGGTCAGTCCAGCAAATCACCTCCACAAAATGATGCTGCCATCCCCATGCTTCACAGTTGGGTTTATGTTCTTTAGATTCAAAGTCTGACCCTTTCCTCCATACAAAACACTGATTATGGTGGCCAAACAGTTCCATTTTTGTTTCATCTAACCAAAGAACACTGGGTCTTTCTCCTGATGAGTACCTGCCAATGTCAGTCTGGCTTTTTTATGTTGGTGTTTTAGAGGGATTTGTTCCTAGCGTGACAGCCTTTCAGGCCACAGTGATGTAGGACTCTCTTTAAGGTAGATGTAGACACTTTGGCACCTGATGGCTCCAACTTCTTCACCAGTTTCTTGCTGTTATCTTGCAGTGAAGTTGAACATTTTGGACGCAGGTTTGTTTAGTCATGGCTTAATTTGTGTCTCTTTCCAAAACAATGCAGTACCTGTGATGTCTCAACATTTTTATATTTGCATTTGTACAGATGCTTTTCAGACCTTCAGTGAGTTGTGAGGTCTGCAATGTTTTCTGAGGCCTTGGTTCAGTTGTTTGTATTTGCACATGGCATCAAGAGCAAAAGGCTCTAAAGACAGCCACAGGTACATTAGTAATTAAGTCCTAATTATGACAGTTGGCCAATCAGAAGCTTCTAAAAGTAATTATATCAGTTTCCTGGACACTCTGAACTGTTTAAAGAGACAGTCTACTTGGTGTATGTGAAATTTTGATCCACTAGAAATTATATAGCAAATTAAAGCTAAAATAAATCTGTCTCTAGTTAATGATTTTAAAATTACCCCTGATGTGCATACCCTAAATAGACTGCCAAATGTATGGCAGCATGAAATGTGTAAAATTGTAAAAAAATTCTGTATCTCTCTCTTGTCCAGTTGGCGTGTGCAGTGCTGGCAGCCTTGCTGCACTTCCTCTTCCTCTCTTCTTTTGTGTGGATGTTCATTGATGCTGTTCTGCTCTTCATCTCTGCTAAGAACCTTACAAAGATCAGATCAAAGCAGAAGAAGATGCTTGGTTGGAAATATCTGACCGTGATTGGATATGTTATTCCTCTGATCGTGGTGGGTGTGTCTGTTGCAGCGGTGCCTAATGGTTACGGCAGTGAAACGTGAGTGTTGTGGGGGAGCTGTTTCACTGGGTTGGGGCTTAGTTCAAAAACTAAAATTGCACTATACATGGTTAAAAAAACCCAGTATGGAAAAAACACTTGCTTGATGCTAACGCATACTAGAAAATATACATGCTAGCAGAAATTGGTATTCTCTTCACAGGTGTTTTTTATAAACTACTACTAATAAAGTCTCCTGCTCTGTACTAATAAGTCTACTATTAAAATAAAGGTATCATTCTGTAATGATATGAGCGACATATTTGTAATGATTATAGGATGAAGTGTAGGGATATGCCATTCTTTGTGGTGGTATATTACAGATATTAGTAGAAAGTCCAATGTATTTATTATTTGACATGTAGGTACAGTATTGACAAATCTTACACATTAGCTAAAGTAAGCATAATAAAATTATCTGTGATATTAGACAACAAGCTAGCATTAAGATAATAAACATTTAAAAAAAAATCTTTTCTCTTTTTATACAGTGTAATATGTCAGCTTGTACTACAGTTTCTCAGAAATGTTTTGCTCATTAACAAGACATGAATGAAATACAGCTAGCTAAGTTACTTAATATGATCTAAGAGTAGCTAGTTAGCCACAAGGATCAAATCTTGAATATTTCTTTAAAAGGAGTAGATTTCTTTATGAAACACAATTGATGACTGTTTATTTGGGGGAAATCAAAACACAGAACAAGAAAGCTAATGTCAGATTTTTTTCTTCATATAAGGATGAAATCTATTATACATTTTCTCTCCTCAGATGCTGGCTTAAGAGTGACAGGGGACTTTTATTGGAGTTTGTGGGGCCCTGTGTATTTCATTCTTGCAGTAAGTACTGCATAACAAGGAAAGGAGGAAAAAGCAAAAAAGAAAGAACAAAAATAGAGATACAGGTTTTTATGCGACAGTAACGATATGCCCTTTTATTTCTTTGCATCACATTACATCACACTAACACTTTCATTCTGCATTGTTTTTCACTATGCAGGCAAATGTGATTCTCTTCATCACCATCTTCATCACTGTCACTTTCAGCCTGAAAAACCTGAACAATGAGATCTTGCAGAGGACACAAACTCAGGCTGATAAGAAACTCATCAGAAGTGTGCTGTTTAAAACCATGGCCCAGTTTTTCATCCTCGGTTGCCCCTGGACACTGGGTTTGTTCATCAGTCACAGTATCATACTGGAGATTATCTTTGTGATCCTCATCTCCCAGCAGGGCACCTTCATCTTCCTGGTCCATTGTGTCCTCAATCAAGAGGTTAGCCATCACACTGACCACCACTCATATACTATTCTCCCTCCCAAATGTTGCTTTTACTCACACCTGAAATCAGGGTTTACAAACTGAACATTGGTCAATTTCTTTTGCTCTGAACCAAAATATTCTCCGCAGCATTGCTTTTGTCTAAAAATATCACTGTTGTTCACCTTAAAGGCAACGAAAACACAGGAACCACATAGTGAACTGAAATGTTCTTTAATCTTAAAAAAGAAAATAATAATTGCTTACTCAGTGCATTTTAAAATCAATGTCTTTTAATTTACATAGTAAGATGAAAAGAATACAGTAATTGTAACATTTTAGTAAAAATGTCAGTTATGTAAAGGCTGGCTCCAGGGCTGCCGTGCTCCCAGCCTCCAGAGGGAGACAACGCACACCTCCCAGGCTAGTCAAGCCCAATGTCCTACACCTGGGCAGAGAGCTTTATAAGGACAGATAAGGAGACATACATTGCTGTAACTTTGTTTCCGTTTAAGTCAACAGACACAGCTGGAAATTTGGGCAAGAGGGCTGAGAGTTTTGCACTTCCCCTCACTTTTTTTTAGTTGCTCCAGCCTCCTCTCAAGGTTTTGTTCTCTGTCTCTGTGAGAAAAAAATTAAAAAGAACATGGAGGAATCCTCCTTCCTTCTCTTCGGTTTTAGTTTATTTTCTGTTGGGAAAGTCATTTGTTACTTAGTTATGTCTCTACTTCTGAGAAAGCCAGTTTTCCCTTGGTATCATTTGTTCTCTTTCTTTTTAAGGCTTCAGTGGTGTAGCAGTAGAGCGCTTACACAGTGCTGGTATGGCCTGGGTTCAATCACCAGCCTCATCTTTTGTATTAGATATTTTAGTTGAGCTCATCCTTCTTAGACCCTAGCTTGGCATTTGGGTCCTGTCTCCCTAAAACCTGTGGTGGCTCACCTGGTAGGCCTCTGGGATATAACTTAGATGGTCTGGGTTCACATCCTCTGTCTGGTGAGCTCCTGCTTCTCAGTCTGCAGGGGCACCTGCTGCATGGGCAGAGCCCTAGTTGCCATCCCAGAATACTACATGGGGATCCTGGAGGATGTAGAGGTTTCCTCCTTCAATGCTCACTTGCATTTGAACAGCAGCTTTCCAAGTTCCCTCAGAAAGGGCTAAAGTGGCATACATGATTTCTCTTATTTCGGGTCAAGCCCTTGCTTGGGTCACTCCTGTATGGGAGAACCAACCTGATTGGTGTGCTTCTGCAGACCTGTTAATGGGTGCTCTGCCCCAAGCTTTCCACCATCTTGTCTGCAGAGGAGACACTGGCTGCTGTCTCTTGCACATACATCAGGTAAAGTGGTCATTAGCTGATAATGCCATACAATTCCACAATTTAGCAGCAGAAAGTGAGTGGGATTCTGCTGCACTAATGGTTGTCTTTCAACAAGGCCTGAGTGAGGATCTCAATGATGAGCTGACCCCTTGTGACCCTTACTCCACTCTTGAGGACCTAATTAAGCTAGTGCTTAAGATGGACAACAGATTACAGGAACAGAGGACTTGTTAAGTGAGCAGAGCCCAGTCTGTCAGTAAACTTCCCTTACCTCTGAGGTGGGCTCTGACCCACAGGTGCCTACTGAAGAGGTGCCCCAACCCGTGCAGTTAGGGCATGCTTGTCCTGACATGAGCTTGACGACCTCATGCTGGAGGGCCGGTATTACAGGCCGGCAGGACATGCCCTAAATTTTTGGGAAATGTTCGTCTGCCCATGACGATCTTATCCATTCCCCAAAGGGCTACTAGGGTGTTCATCAATACTGTCCTATCTCAAGTACCCTCAGAATACTGGGACCTCCAGGAGGTCTTTAGCAAGAAGAAGGTCCAGCTTCTGCCCCCCAATCGGCCTCCACCGATATTGCCATAAACCTGTTACCTGGCACAGGTCCCCCTCGGGACAATCTATTTTCCCTGTCTGCCCCAGCATGAAAGGCCATGGAAGATTACATCCAGGAGTTCTTGGCACTAGGTATCATCTGGCTATAGACCTTCCCAGTGGGAACAAGGTTTCTTCCTCGTAGTGAAAAAAGACGGGGGTCTTTGCCCCTGAATAGATTATCGGGGACTCAATAAGATCATGGTTACCTCTCATGTCCTCTGTCTTTGAGGCACTGGAACAGGCATCCATCTTCACCAAGCTGGACCTGCGCAGTGCCTATAACCTAATCAGGGTTAAGGAGGGGGACAGATGGAAGATGGCCTTCATTGGGCCACTATGAATACTTAGTTCTGTCCTTTGGGCTAATGAATGTGCCAGCTGTCTTCCAGCACTACATTATTGAGGTTCTGAGGGAGGCACTTCATCATTACATGTTCGTCTATTTGGATGATATTCTCATCTACAGCAAGAACCAAGACAAACATGTAGCCCATGTTTCTCAGGTGGGTTTAGAATTTGGATACATTTTTCCATGCAGTGCCAGTACAGGCTTCATCACTTGTTTAAGGTTTTTAAGTTAAAACTCATACTTCCCATTGTAGCTTGGCACTTTGGTTCCATCTCCCTAAAACCTGTGATGGCTCACCTGGTAGGCCACTGGGGTATAACTCGGACAGCCTCACATTCTCTGTCTGGTGAGCCATCCCATGTTACAAGTTAAGCCTCTTAAGCCTCACACCAGCTAGCATGTGAAGATCATTTCTCCACTCATTGTTTGAGAGTTGTGTGGATCCAGACCATCAATAAGGCAAATTTTATCACTATATAACTGTTTAACATCCCTCTGGAGTTAGTAAAGGTACAGTCGCATTTCATTTGATTCAGTTTCCAGCATAACATGATGTTCATTCCCAATGGGTCATTGGGAGAGGTGTTCATAATAAGAATAATTCTCAGAGATAAACAACATGGATATGAAACAAATTGAATACAACAAATAATATGTTCAACATCATTTCCTACTGATAAATACGATATATTAAAATGTCGGGGGATACAGCAGAACATGACTTTTTCTTATTCTTCCTCTGATTGGTGCCACAATATAATTGTCTAAAATGTCTTTGTATGCTGTAGCATTTTAATTCATTCATCAGATGACCAGAAAGTAGAGGTATGATTTTTCACTGCAAAACACATTTGCACTGCTCCAGAGTCTTCAGCTACAGCTACAATTTTTACAAACCAAAAAGCAAACGTTTTTGAAAGACTTTGAAAGACTGCAGTATAAGATACAATATATGGACAAAAGTATTGGGACACCTACACATTATACCTACAGGAGTTTTTATGACATCCCATTCTAATCCCAGTCAGACACTGATGTTGGACGAGAGGGCCTGGCTCGCGATCTCCATTCTAGTTCATCCTTAAAGTGTTCGATGGGGTTGAGGTCAGGGCTCTGTGTGGGCCAGTCAAGTTCTCCCTCCTCCACCAAACTTTATACTTGGTACAATGCAGTCAAGCAGGTAACACTCTCCTGGTATATTCCAAACCCAGACTCATCCATCTGACTGCAAGATAGAGAAGCATCATTCGTCACTCTACAGAATGCATTTCCACTGCTCCAGGGTCCAGTGGCAGCGTGCTTTACACTACTACTCCCAACATTTGGCATTTTAATCTTAGGCTTGTATGTAGCTGCTCGGCTATGGAAACCCATTTTGTGTAGCTCTTTTGCTGATGTTGCTTCCAGAGGTTCAATAGTGACGTTTTGTGGTCCACTGTGGTTTTGTGGTCTATGTGCTTATTTTTATCCACCTGTTAGATTTTCCACTTCTCCAGAATCCAGTAGCAGTGTGCTTTACACTACTATAGCAGATGCTTTGCATTGTATATAGTGATTTATCTGCAGCTGCTCAGTCTTGAAAACCCATTTAATGAAGCTCCCCACAAACAGAATGCGCTGATAGGCAAATTTAATCGCTGTCCAATGAAAACCATGAATCTCCATTTTTGTTGATTTTTAGTTTTCTACATCATTTCAACACACCTGCTGTCCTTTACATTGTGTAAAAAAATTCATGATGAATGGACCCATAGAAATGCTTTAAAATAACTTGGAGCAAAATCTCTTTACATTGATTACATTAAAAGGAAAGAGTGTTTTTGCCTTCTCCTATAAAGTTAATATTTTGGAGATACTTGTTTTTCATTGGACAGTGACGATTTACATGCTACACACTTCAGCACTTGGTGGCTCTGCTTTGTGAGTGTGCATGATCTACAACTTTGTGGCTGAGCTCTTGTTGTTCCTAGACGCTTCCATTTCATAATAGCAGGGCAGAAGTTTCACAAATTGACGTGGTAAAGGTGGCATCCTATGAAAGTGCCTAGTCACTGAGCTCTTCAGTACGACCCACTTTACTGACAGTGTTTGTCTATGGAGACTGTATGGCTATGTGCTTGATTTTATACACCTTTGAACAACAGATGTGGCTGATACACCTGAACTTTTGGCCACATTGCATGTGCATTATAAAAAAATGTATGTAAATCTCTCAGGGTTCTAGAGTTGTTACTGTAATTGTGCAATGCTGTTTAAATTAGTTAAATTTACATTCAATTTACATTTTGTATCAATATATTAGAACCTTAAAAATAACACAAATGTAAAGGATGTTTTTGCTTTTCAAAAATAATGTTGCTTTTTCATTTACTTTTTAAGTTCAATTCATGATAAAACATCTCTTCTATGTACAAGCCCAAGTATGGTATGGCTTGACTATCTGCACTATGCATTCTGAATAATAAATTTTAAATAGATTTAAATAAATTTTTTTGGCCAATTTATTGATGGTATTATTTTTTTATTGTATTGTTTGTTTATGATAGTACCATTTCAAGCCATAAAAATGGTTACACTGATTC